GAAAGAAAATAAATAAATTTATAAATAAATAAATAATTAATTAAATAAAGATATCAATAAAGAAAGTAAGAAAATAAATAATTAAATAAATAAATAAATGCTCATTTATTAAATTATTCAATTAATCACTTACTTATTTATGCCTCTTCCTCATGCGTATCTGACTGTTGGGCCTATGGAGACAAGAGTTGTTATGAGAACGTGAATTCTTGTCTATTGCAAACTGTTGGCCACTTCTGGGCCTATTCAACAGACTGACCGCATAAAGACCATCCGGAGCATGTCCAACAACGACTTGTTGGACGCCGCTCATCTTCACACGCACGAGCCAGTCATCTTGTTTGTGGTGAGGCTATGGACGACAGAAGCATCAGACCCGTTTTACGAAACCCACATAAAGTCGTTGGCTCCGGCTGTATGGGCTCCATGTCGAACGCGCAGTCCTGACGATCTTTGCCTGAGCCGGTCTGATCAAGTTCCCGCATCGAGGCATCTCCATTCGCTCTCCTCGCTTTCGGAGTACCGTTTCAGCGATCGAACCTGCCGCCGATGCCTACCTTCATCGCGAGGCTGAGGGTTGTCGGGCCGAATCGCGCCGCCCAACAACCCTTCAGGCTGGGACACATGAACTCTGAGTCTCGGATGCCGCTGTCTGTCCCACGGCCGGTGCACAATTTGATGCTGCCTGCTCGGTTTTGGGCCGGAAAATGGTTTTTATTTCGTTTGGACATTGTTCATTGAACGGTACAGCAGCGCCACCATTTTGGCTAAACACTCTTTGGGATTTAGCTTCTGTTCGTGCCTACCAATCCGCTACTTCTTCATACTCAATTTATTCCGTGTGATCGCGTTTTATCTGGCAGAGACGTCCGTTGCTCGGCTCAAATTACACCATTCTCGCGTCGCCATGTGAACCATGAAATCGGCGTTTATACTCAGTTTGAGTTTGCTTTGAAAATTTCACTAATTCTCAAATAAACACTCACTCGCTCGCTCTTGGTGGCAAAAGGTGACCTGATGAATGATAAAGCAGTTTTTGCCAAAAGCACAACATTATTCACGAGTAGGCATATCAAGTAAATCTTTATAAAGATTGCTGGGGAGTAGAACGGATGGTGGAAGGTTCTTACGATTGCATCGAATTTTGCCCAGCCTTGCCTCGCTAAAGTTATTTCCGTCGCGGCTTGACCCTTTTGGGAAGCAAGACCAAACGCAATTTGATGAAAAGGTGAGGCTCAATCGGCTCGTTGTGGGACAACCCAGCCACGCTTCGCGAAGCACTGATCGTTTCAAAATGCCCATTTTGGCCATAAATAACCTCCAGAAGACGACGGCGGATTCGAGCAATCTCTTGTTTCATAATTGTTGAGCTTACTTCCATTTCGAGTGAAAGTGTTGCCTGAAGAGATTCTAAGGTCGGTTTCTTCAGAAGACGACAGGATTCGAGGAATCTCTCATTTCATAATTGTTGAGCTTATTTCCATTTCGAGTGAGAGTGTTGCGTGGAAAGATTCGAAGTTCGGTTCCACCAAAAGACGAAGGTGGATTCGAGGAATCTCTTGTTCATAATTGTTGAGCTTACTTCCATTTCGAGTGAAAGTGTTGCGTGAAGAGATTCGAAGGTCGGTTGCACCTGAAGACGACGGCAGATTCAAGGAATCTCTTGTTTCATAATTGTTGAGCTTACTTCCAACAATAGATTCCTCGAAACCCAACTTTTCTTCGTATATAAATAACCTCATCGGTCGAGATGGCAACTAACAGTTTGCCCCATCGACGATCCAGTTAAAAAGTCTCAAAGTCATATCGCCCCTACGAGCCACAGGCACATGTGTCTGTTTGTGTCTAGCAGAATGTGGTGTTGTGGAGTTATGTTGACAAAAATACAATTTGGTCCTACAGATTTCGCTGTAGCTAAGGCTCCACTCGGTCGTTGAATCAGCTCAAGTGATTCCACCTCGCAAAGATCTCATTTAGGATCAGCGTTTTTTCGATGCCCTCTGTCTCCGTCCACTTCTGCTCGCAACCACTGTTCTCGGATTACGATCGTCTTTCCGTTGTCATGCAAGCATTTCTCGTTACAGGCCGCCGTGGCAACTGGAGCCGTCCTCATTGAACAGCCACTGAAGCTCTGACGAGAGGCAGTCGCCAACGTCCACGAAGTTCGGTTTTCGCTGCTCCGACGCGCCGGTTCTTGCTTGTGCAGGTCGCCATCTCTTCAGCGACACTGGCCTGTCTCAAGGGTCTTTGTGATAATTGTTGAACTCTTTTCCATTTCGAATGAAACTGTTGGATGGCTTGATTCAAAAGTCGATCCCACTAACCTGGCACATGCTTGCTGAAGCTGTTTCCAAGGCAATCTTCTTCACTTTCGATAAAAAGGTGCTAAGCTTTCGTCCCTCATACCACGGACATCATCAGAACGGGATTTCATTCGGCAAAACCATGTTGAAGCTGTACGAAGGAGACGCGGGTTTCGAAGAATCTCTTCATGTTGCATTGTTGTGACGTACGAGACTACTCAATCCCAGCCAAGCTTCCACTTGGAGCATTTAGCTCAGATGACCCGGAGCAGACGTTAGTCTTTTTGATAGTTTCTCTCAGTTATGCCCAGTTTTGCGTACAGACGTAAAGGTTCCAATGCAAAGAAAAGTTGGGTTTCGAGCAATCTCTTGTTTCATAATTGTTAAGCTTGATTGTTAGTGGGACCTTCATTTCAAATGAAAGTACATGAAGAAGAGATTCGTTTTTCGATCTCACCAGATGAGGACGGA